GCGTAAGCACAAATTTAGTATTGCACTTTTGCTATACCACCCGCACTTCGTTTTCCCCTGGTCAATAAATCAATGGTCAATTAGCCATCAGTCTTTTTTTTTCTTCTTCTTCTCCTTCAAAGCGAAGTGGAATGTGAAATGAGTACCAAATCACCTCACTCACACTAGCTATATATATTTTTTCTTATGTTCTTCTTTCTCTGGTCAATTCGTCAACAATCTCTTTTTCGTCTTTTTCTTCTTCAATGCAAAGTGAAGTGTGGAATGAAGACCAAATAACCAGACCCCATAAGCACTAACCAAAGCTTTTTCCCATTACTATTAACGTTGGACAATAGTATTTATTTCCAAGGTAAACTATTCGTATAATAAAATCTTTAACCGTTGTGTTAAATATAACCAATTTTTTTCATAGTGCATAAAATGTTCAAATATCTTATTTAATCTCTTAACATATAGTTCTTTGTTAGACATATTAACAGGTAAAATATTGCATTGACGACATTATTAGAGAACTGACTTGGACATACACATTTGCACACATGCATGTGAGTTCCAACAAAAAATCTCACAAATCAAGATTCATAATCTCTCTGATTATGAGAGATTTGATATCTATAGATCTTAAAAATTTGAAATATCTGAAACTAAAATATGTGATACAAAATCCAACAAACCTCTATTGTGGGTAAACGGTAACCCCGACTCTACGAACGCGAGGAAAGGCTGCACAATGGTAGTATGGCGGACCAAAAGACGTAAAGAATGCGGGGCGTGAAGTGCAATTAGATCCATTTTGAAGACGAGCTTCAGGGTGATATCGTAGTTCAGAGAAATGGCTGCCCCGACACAGCTGGCGGGTTGGTTCCTTTGTCGTTGCCGGGGAGCTCTTGGCGAGGTTTAAGATAAGATAAGTTGATAAAATAAAGGGGAGGATCAACCCGTTCAGTATAATTCCGAAGCCCTATGACTACGAATAGTAGGGGCGATTAGTAATTTCGGCAATAGAAGGAAAGACGGCAGTTTCGATGTGAAGCCCTGAGACATCTGTATGAAGCATCTCCTCTCAGGATTCACCGGACTTTGTAGCTTGAAACAACCAGTCCTTTTCCTTTTTCCTATCCTCGGGATAAAGAACCTAAGACGGAACCCCGAGGGCCGAGAGCTGAAAAACAAGATAGATGTATTTACTGCTTCAAAGTGACATATAAAATAGTCAAATAGTCATACCGCACTTTTTACAGCAGACTCAAATGGGCCACTCACCGCCCGAATAACTGTAGCAAATCCTCCCTTTACTCAATGGAATAGATAGCCAACTACGGGTCTTCTAAAGCCTGTAACGAAGCTTATTTGCTAACTTTTCATGTCTTATGTATATTCACTGAATTCAGCTACAATAGATGAAGTGGTAAGCCTACTTATCTATTTCTCTTATTATCTTAAGCGATAGTATAGGTGGATTGAATTCTGGGATCCCTTATATTCCAAGTGCTTTCTCTATCTCACTTGCCCACTGGCTCACTATAATAAAGACTAAACAAGGGATTAGACAAGCGATATGAATGGGAGGACAAGGAAGGACACTATATTCATGCGGAAGATCAAGTTGTTGAGCCGTGTGATGGGAAACCTTGCGTATGCACTGAATTATAATGAGAGGTTCACCTTGTCGGTGCAGGCCTTGCCTATGCAGTCGTCAATATTGATTTTGACGAACATGATGTGACATTAGAGCCAGACCTTGTCTTGAGTTTCGGGCCTTATGTCATTTTAAACATGTTGATGGGATAGCCATTAGCATTGAAGTCAATCACCACCTCTATCATACATACGAAAGCGAGATTGCATGGGCAACACACACCTAAAGCGACTACGTTCTGCTTCCAGCTCTGGGAGAATTCACAAAACTTCATTTCTTAGGCATCCTTAGACGAAAGAGTGGTCTTTCAGCTCGACCAGCGGGGAGAGGGAGAAGGGAGAACTCGATAACAAAGCTAAGAAGAAAGGAAAATGACCAAGCTACGAAGTCCGGTGAATCACGAGAAGGGAAGGGATGCTTCTGAAAGTGCTAGAGTTCCGGTAAGCAAATCGGATGTCTCCTAGCTAGCCTGCCCTGTCTCTTATCAAATCGACCATTGCATATCAAATCTTTAATAGAGTTACCTACCAATTCTCGGTAATCCAAACCTGATAAGTTGAATTCAACTTATGCGTCTGCGTTAGACAGATACCTATTCCAGTTTTTAGTTCTTTGAATGGGTTTCCTACGAATGGATTCCATTTATGCTTTTTCAGACGGAACATTACTCCCAACACTCCCTTTCTAACGAAAAAATACTGGATTCATATTCTCTAGGGATGTCTTTATGGGTCCGGGCGGGAAACAACATCTCACTATTCTGACATTGATGAACACGTATCACAACGTTTTTATGAATTAGAGAAAAGAACACCCACATTAGAGAACGAGGTTCATGAGACTATGCATGAAGAAGAATATAACATTATGTTTAATTTATGTGTTCAATGAGTCTATGGTCCAAATCCTTTTCTCTGAACGAGCCTAATGAGTTTGTAAGTACTTGACAATTTTATAACGTTTACAAGTTATTAGAAACATTAGTAACTTTGGCAACCCTTATAAATTTTATTGGAATTGTACCATAAATTGTAACGTTTACGAGCGCTTCTACTATGCTTTAAAACATTGGTGCTTCGAGGTATAAATTGAGATTGTACCATAACGTTAAAAGCACAAGTCAAGTTGTACTATAATGAGATTTTTACAAAAGAGTATAGGAGTATAAGTACAACCTTAAATGTTACCATAACATTAAATGTACAATTTCAATTTTTTTTACTATAAAAGCAAATAACTATAACACTTAATGCTTTAAAACATTGTACAATTCCTCTAGTAACTTTGACATAGGATTGGCGAAACCATACATTATTACTTTCAATGTTTTGTAACAATTAGAAATTATCTTTACATTTATAACTATATTTTCTAAAGATTTCTACTGGAGTTGAGACTTGTGATATTTTGCAAGGATATGAAATTGCACTAGAGGTCATATCGAAATGTCAGTAATAGAGTATTTTATATTACAACTGTAGCGTAGCTACAGTTCAGTTTCATATTGCTAAAAATCCATGTCAATTTGCAGGACAATACCAGATATTCTAATCCGACCGGAAGATAGATTAGACTTTCTAAAAGAGTGGTATTTTGGATCACTCACTGCTTCAACTAAAGTTCAACTTATAAGAGGAAGATGAAGTTGGGCTGAAAATTTTGGGTTGAGCCTTTTTTTTTAAAACACGAAGAGTGTAGTCCACAAATAGCACAAGTTTGGAATGAAGACCAGAAAAGGACTTTGAAGGATTGGATACGGGGCTGCAAAAAGAAGTGGTTGCAGTGGAGTAAAGTTACTTGTGGAAATATAAAGAGGATAAAGAAGCTAGTAAAAAGAATGTTGGAAAAGCTATAAAAATTGAAAATGAACAAGCATGTGATTTTGCAGAGTTGATGATACAATTCTAGAATCCATCATTTTCCATTCAGGATTGATCGTCAAAGATGTCAAGTTGAATTGCAAGAAAGAACCTAAAAATTTTCCAAGTGTTTTTCACGTTTCAGGTGGTCGACTTTGCACGCTTGGTTCTTTGAATTGGATGGAAATGGGAGTTTAAGGGCTTGTTTTGAAGATGGAGTGTTCATCTACACATTGGTATGCTTGGGAGCTCGAGAAGAAGTCCAGAAGGTCATTTTCAAGGCTCACCAAAATCCTCTGTCAACACAGGAAAACTGCCAGAATTTGGCCAAGGCAGAAAATGTGTTCATGAAGCCTACCGTGGAGCTCATTTTGAGAGCATGGATGGGAATCGAGTCTCAAGCTTCATACCACATCAAAGTACAAGAAATATGCTACAAAGGCAAGGTATTGGATGAAGGAATGGATACCTGGAAGGCTTCGAACGAAAGGAAAACAAGATCGTACGAAGCTTGTCAAAACTATCTTACCACTAGGGAATCTGAATCCTTCTTGAATTAGGATTACTAGTTTGTTTTGAACTTTGATTTCGTTTCATTGTTTGTTTGAGTTCTTTTTGAGTTGTAGCCTAGTTAGGATTTCTTTGAGAGTTGCTAGACGTCTTAGGGTCTATTTAAGTCGAGTTGATTTGTTGTAATTTTCAGTTTTTATGCACAATTGAATACAAAGTGAGCTTTGATTCATCTTGCTTGTTGTCTTGACGAATTGAGTGGATTTCTTATAGGATTCCTAGGCAATTGATAGCTTGGATCGATCAGTTATTCCCACTGATCGTAGCCAAGCCTCTACCTAAAGTTTTCGAGCCTCTTTCCCTACGTGAAGGTTGTACGATACTTACCATTCCAAACACCAAAACCGACTCTGTTTTGTGTGTTCTTGTTCGAGGAAGATTAGTTGTTTGGAATTGATATTTTGTTGCGTTAATTCTGATCAAAACAACCCCTAGGGTTGTATTAGATGAGCAGTGCAAAAGAGTAGAATGGGATGGTTAGCATAGCACAAACAAAAAATCATGGAAAAGCTTTGGGCTACTACCAATGTTGTTAGAACTGAACAGGAGTATGAATCGATATTTTTTTTTTATAATGAGGAGTATGAATCGATATGATAAGTGGTTCACACTTTATTGATTAAATCGCTAAAAATTGTGAATGAACCGATGGGTAATAATTAATAAACTTGTATAATAATGACTCTTGCACTTCTAGTTTCAACAATCATAAGTTTACTTAATTTGTCATATTGTTTTCTAGACTTCTACATTTGTTCCAACTCTTGCATTACATGTTCATTATTTTACAACATTGAAGTAAATATTTGGCCCATTTAAATTGTGCCAAGTTGCATTTTGATTTCAAAATGAGTGCTAAAGTTGGTCTGTCAAGTCATACAATTTCAATAACTTTTATATAAAAGAATACTAAATTGTTTTAGCCCTTTGACAAGTTTTTTAAAACTTTTATAAGTACATCTAAGAAGTAGAAATAATTTTTCAGAATATTGCAAAAAAATGCTTGATATTAGTGTAAGTTGTAAAGAGTAAGTAACAGAATACGCTGATCCGAACAACTTGATCCGCTCGCAACCTGCCCGACTCGTAACCCGATTGACCCGCAACTTGATGAACTCACAAGCCGATCAACACTAACCTGCAACCAGATAAACTTGAACCCGAATGACCCAAAACCTGAGGAACCTGAAACTTCACTAACTCGTAATCCGATTGAATCCAACTGAAACCCGCAGATTGACACTTCTGCACGTAACTACCAAAAGCACACGCTACTGATAAATGGATTTTAAACGAGAAAGCCCATGCAAAAATATGTGTCTCTAGTTTGGGCTAAAATCCAACTTTATTTTGGGCAAGGAGTTGATTGCCATGTCAGGCCCGATATACCGAGGAGCGAATCAACTGCACCGTAGGCTGACAACGAAAGAGAAAAGTCACAGAGGTTCGTCAAAGAGAGAAACTCCATTAGGATTTAGAAATCAAATCTGAAGACCAATTTCGTTCTCTACCAATTTACAGTGTGTTTTGGTTTTACTAGATCGAGCAATGGGCGGAGGGCATGGCGATGGCATCACTTACAAGGGCGTGACGATGCACCAGCCGAAGCGGTGGCATACGGTCACCGGGAAGGGCCTCTGCGCCGTCATGTGGTGCGTTTTCTCCTTCTCCTTCTCCTGCTCTTCCTGTAAAAATTGTTTCGCCTCTCGGGAGGTCGCCGTGCTTGCTATTCCCCCTTAGTTTTCTCCTTTTCTTGAATTGGCCGTTTATTTCGGTGTTGATTGATGTGAATGGAGCTTAAATGAATGCTGTATATCTATCTATCCGTCCCGGACTCGAATTGGGTACTCGATCGAATTTTTAGGGTTTGTTAAATTGGGATGGGATTTTTGCCATCAAGGCTAGTTCTTGATTGAATTTATTGATGGTCGACAAGATGGATGTCTGATTGCTGTATGTTGCTGGAAATGGATGGTATGTTACTGGAAAATGGAAATGGAGTCGAAGATGTATCTCTGCTGTTCATGAGTCGCTTTAGATGAATTGAGATAAGTAGGCAGAGCGAATAACTTTGATGACTGCGTGGCTTTTACTAAGTTTTCGAATAGCTGTCCCGAATTCAATCTGTATGGGGACTGGAATGAACTCTTGTAAAGAGTTTGGCAAATTGATTGCACGCTGACATAAGCTATAAGAATTGGTGATCCATAGCATTTTGAAGCATGTAATGGATCTGGTAAATGTGGCTATCTGATTCTTTTGATGGATTTTGTTGTTTCAGGTTTTGGGTTCTGTACAGGGCTAAGCAGGATGGTCCTGTTGTGTTGGTAAGAGCTAAGTTTAGCATTGCTATTGAGATTTTGGAGCTCGGCTCCTTGATGTGATTGTGTTTCGTGGTCTTTTTTTCTAGGGCTGGAGACATCCATGGGATGGCCATGGTGATGATCATGGCCATGGACACTAGGTACATTCTTCAGTTCTGTTTCTATTTAGATATGCTCAATTAATACCTAAGTTATCTTATGTTTTTGTTTGATCCTAACTTGAATGGCTATTAAGAAAGTATTTAAGTAGGAGTACTATTAATGAAGGGAGATGCTGCACTTGAATAATGTGTGAGATCGTCTTTAGATGATGATATAATTTGATTGGTGTTTAGATAACACCTATGTGTTGCAATGTTGGGGAGTTCTACAAAGTCACCATGATTAGCTGTAGTTTGTTTACCTCTTGCCAAGAAGAGCTTGGTCTAGCGGGTAAACCGTTGTTCTTTGATCTGAAGGTCTCAGGTCCAAAACCCTTCAGTAGCACCTAACATTAAAAAACAAACAAACTAGTTTCGTCACATGGTATAAATGTTGGTCAAATAGAAAACAAGGCAAATCTTGGCATGTCTAATGTATCGCTCGCAATGTTGTTAGTTCGATTTCCAATATTGAACATCTTAGTAATCTGAGCGGTCTCTTGTATGTGGAATATTGATGTCTCCAAATATCTAAGAAATAAACACCTCCCAACTTTGCTGGTTTTGCAGGCATGGATCTGAAGAGCCAAAGAAGCGTGGAGTCCTTCAATGGTGGTATCAAACTGAGTAGTTGAACTGAGACTTGGGACAGTTCCCCTCTTTGTGCAATAAAAATGCTGTTGAAAACAGATTGTTCTTGTTCCTTATTTGCGAACACAATGCTGCATTTTAAACATGTTAACTAGCGCTTGAATGTCTGGTCAATCAGTTGTGTTTGCAGTTTTTTCCACCCTCAGCTGGGCTTTGTTTCAGTGAAAAAAGTCTTATTATTACCATGACAATTGACAAGTTCGTTTTCTGTTTTGCCCGTCAAGATGTGAATTCATAGTTGTGTTATTTCTTCTCTGTTTTTCTATGTTGTGTAGTTTATTATGCAGCTCACTATATCTTTTTGATTTGAGGGAAACCGGAATACAAGTGGAGAGAAAACATTGCAGCAGCAAGTGTGGAATCCAAAATACTAGAACTACAGGGATACGATGAACTGGGATACCGTGAATTGCAGTCTTCGAATCAATATCTACCATAGTAAGGATGTACGAGGTTAGAACTTAGAAGTAGGTGGGTTGATCAGAGTTATGACTATGCAAGATAGTTGGGTTCCCGAGTTTAGGCTTTGCTGGACAATCTAGTCCGAAAGGGCTTGTTCCGAATTGGGCTACGAGATAGAACGTTGGCCCTGCAGCTAGAACTAAACAGGCCAAGACATGACAACCTTTAACCATGTGGTGAGGGCCAGGGGTTTCCTTGTACGGGTGATAATTGAACTTAGTCTCAACTCTCATGGTTAAAATGGGTAAAACTCAATGTGTGATAATTGAAATTAGGCTCATCCGGTTAAAGTGAGTAAAATTCAATGTTGATAGTGGACAATGCGTGAATATTATATGTTTTTCATATTGATGGGTTTGACTTTGTCAAAATCTTACTATGTTGGATTAAAAAATGTTAAACGATGTCGGTTTGTATATATTCTTAATAATATGGATGTTATAAGTCTGTGACACGTTAGACGAATCCCATATCGAGAAAGTATGAGAGAGATCCATGGTTTTTCAGTCAGAATTGAACTTAGGGTCAAACTCAATGGGTGATCATTGAACTTAGGGCCACCCTACTAATATTTATTATAAGAGTACATTAGTAGCTACCCTACTCCCCCACCCCTTCCCGACTGAAACTCTCTGCTCCCCCTCCCCTTCCCTCTCAATCCTACTACGACCGCCGCTTCGCTCTCATTATCCGGTAGTTGCTGCTCTCTCAATCCTATTCTGCCCAAAAGAGAATTATGTTCAGGTCTCTCTTCCAAATAAAAGAGGCTCCTTTCTTTTAATTATTCCCGCCGCTACCAATTTCTAGACACACTCCCAACATCGTCGTCGTTGACTCCACCGTGAAAGGTATTAAGGATACGTCTTTATCCTCCTAGCATTTGTACTCCTAGTTCTAGTTGTATTGTAATTCCTTGTACGTAGCTCTTTCATACATGTACTGTGTATAGTCTTTGGTTATAAATACCCCCACCAGTGGTGAATAATATACAACAACATTCATAATCCTTATATGGTATCAGAGCATGCAATTCTGCCCTAGAATTCGTTCCTCGGGCATATCGGTGCGCTCCCACATTCAACGCCTGATCTCCGTCGCTGCAGCTCCCTCCTCAAGATGGCTGGCGAAGACTCCGCCATGTCTGGCACCACTGAAGCCCCCTCCGGCGCTGCTGGCCTGCCTGCTCTCGTCACCATCAACCCTGCTGCCAGCTTCCCTCTAAAGCTTACTCCGACTAACTTTCCGTCCTGGCGTGCCCAACTTCTGTTCTTGCTACAAGGGCTTGATTTAGTCGGTTATCTCGACGTCACTACTGAAGCTCCTCCTGAACGTGTCCTTATCAATGGCGTTGAGGCACGAGTCCAGCCTACACTCACTAGTTTCGGCAGGATAAACTCCTCCTCAAAAGCCTCCTTGCTTTCATCTCCGAAATGGTATGACCCTTCATTAGTGCTGCCACCTCCTCCGCAGTGACGTAGTCCACGTTGGTTCAATGTACGCCAATGCCTCCCGCTCGCGTGTCATCACCCTTTGGGATTGTCTCCTTGCTGAGAAACGTGGTGATTGTGATGTCGCCACCTATGTTCAGTCCCTCCACTCCATCGCCAATGAAATGGCTCTCGCTGGGACGACCATTCACGACGATGAGTTTTCTGCAGTATTCGCGCACGTGAAACTCCACCCAGCCTTAAAGATCTTGTCGATCCCCTTGTCTCCCTTGAGGCCGACCTCAAGGCTTGCCACTCATCCTCCTCCCCCGCGACTGCTTACAACACTCGCGGTCGGGGTGCTCGCGGTCGCCATGGTGGGACTCCAGGCCGCGGCGGGGGTCGTGGTCCTTGTTCGTTTGATAACAACTCCACCTGGGATATGACCGACTCCTTTGATGATGGTGAACCTCGTCGCGCTCGCATTTACTGCCAGTACTGCGACAAGCCTAGTCACACTGCAAAGAAATGCTTCCAACTCCACCCGAGAAGCGTCCTCGGGCTCAAGCTCATCACGTCAACCGCCAAGCTCCCTCCTCTCCACGTAATGGTGGTTCGTGGCTCATGGATTCGGCAGCTACACATCATGTCACCAATGACCTTGGAAACCTTGCTCTCTATTCGGATTACACCGGTCCGGATGTAGTTTACTTAGGAGATGGTTCAGGTTTGAAGATCACTCATATTGGCTCTTCCTCCCTTAAGTCGCCTGACCAGTCTCTTATCTTGCACGATATGCTTTATGTTCTTTCCATCAAACAACGTTTGATCTCTGTTGCCAAGTTATGCCGCACTAACCCTGTTTCTGTCGAATTTTTTGCTCATTCGTTTCTTATGAAGGACCTTCGCACGGGGGAGCCACTGCTGAAAGGAAGGAACAAGGGTGACACCTATGAGCTCCTTGGTGGTTCGTCGACAATTCGTCTCGCGTTGGTGATCACTCGTGACTCTACAACCTCCTAGCATTGCCATCTTGGCCATCAATCGTCCAAATCCCTATCTCATCTTTTAACTACCCAGTCTTTACCAGTGTCTAAGTCGTCTGTTTTTTCCTTCTATCCCTCATGCTTGTCAAACAAGAGTCATATACTCCCTTTTGGTGATTCTAGTTTAACTAGTTCTCGGCCGTTTGATTTAGTCTATTCCGATGTATGGGGTCCAGCTCCTGTAACTTCTATTGACGGCTATTCATATTACTTGATTCTTGTCGATCACTTTACGCGGTATACGTGGATCTATCCCCTTCGCTTAAAGTCTGATGTCCTCTCCGTTTTTATAGCCTTCAAACGTCTTGTCGAAAACTTCTTCTCCACCACCCTTCGCCGTCTCTACACCGATGGCGGTGGCGAGTTTGTCAAACTTCGTACCAAGCTTAGTAACGATGGCATCACCAACCTTCTTACTCCTCCGTATACTCCACAACACAATGGGCTAGCTGAACGTAAACACGGGCACGTAGTTGAAAATGGTCTCACCCTACTTCATCAAGCTTCTCTTCCACTATCTTATTGGTTCTATGCCTTTGTCAGTGCGGTTTATCTTATCAATCGCCTTCCCTCATCCTCACTTAAGGGTAGTACTCTGTTCACCGTTCTGTTCAATGAATCCCCCAATTACTCTAAACTCTGCGTCTTTGGTTGCTTATGTTACCCCTGGCTTCGCCCTTATAGCTCCCACAAACTGAACCCTAGGTCTCGTCCATGTATCTTTCTTGGTTATTCCCATCAACAAAATGCTTATAAATGTCTTGATCCGGTCACTAACCGTCTATTTCTGTCTTGTCATGTCGTTTTCGTTGAGAGTGAGTTTCTCGAGGTAGCCTCCTCCCCACCATCTCCCGCACCTTCATCCTCTACATCCTGGCTTGCGGCGAGCGTCCCCCCGGTCACCACCATATTGCCTACATCCACACCAAGCTTGTCCCCTGCTCCTCCCCGCCAGCCAGTGACGTCCACGTCAGGTCCTCCTCAAGTGGATGCCTCAACGCGACAGACAGCCGGTTCGACCCCTTCGGCACGTCCATCTCCGCCAGCTCCCTCCCATCCTATGGTGACTCGAGCTAATCATAATATTTTTAAACCTAACCGGAAGTATGCACAGACTTTGACTACATCGCAGGTGACTCCTCCACTTGAGCCTCAATAGGTCAAGGAAGCCCTTCGTTATGCGGAAGGGAATGGTGCACTCCGGGCTGACTTTGACGCGGTCTGTGCCAACCGCACATGGAATCTCGTGCCTCGACTTCCTCACTACTGTTACACCCCGACCTTTGGGTTCAGGTTGGATCATAATACGTGAATGGTTGGATTAACGGTTACGTACTAAGGATTGCAACCGAGGATTAGGAATAATAATAATAATAATAATAATAATAATAATAATAATAATTATTATTATTATAAAAAAAGGAATTTGGCGAGGAGGGCGCTCGGCCCATAATGTATTTTCGCCAAAATCCCATCCCCATTCACTAAATCAGCCGCCCTCCCCATTCTTTCCCCAGAGACCCTCTTCCCAAATCAATTCCCCCATTCACCGCCTCCCAAAATCCCTAGCGAGAAGAAGCCAAAAACCACCGGGTCGCTTTGCATTCGGGTGATGAGGCTGGACGAGACTGATGGAACAGTGAAGTTGTTGTCCGAGTCCTTTGTGGAGTCCATGATGCTTCCCGATTGATACTTGCCTTTGATTAGTTATTTGGGGGAAGCAAGGTTGCCAAGACGTAGGCTGGTGGTGGTGCTGTAGCCTTCGAGTATTGTTGTCATGGCGGCGACGTCTGGAGAGGCTAACCGATTGTGGACGATATGACAGTGATGAGAACTTGGATTGTAGGTAAGCCAATCAGTTCCTCACGTACGTTAACTAAAGGGTTTCATGGGATTAGGCAATTAATTGGACCAAGTGATCCTTTGTCCGGTTGTGAAGGGGTTATTGTTTGGACGAGAAGAAAGAAGTGCTCTCCGCCACTCACGATGCCAAAGTTCAGGTATGGAAATTGTACACGTTGGAAAGAAGTTGAACGTGTCTATTGGAGGTGGCCGAAGGGGGACTTGATTATGCCCTCCCAGATGTGCCTGTGGTGGTGGACGTAAATAAAAATGTAGCTGGTGGTGCTAGTTAGCGTTCCCAATGATTAGAAGGTCTAGCTGCGGCAGAAGGAATGACGATGGAATGGTGACCCAATAAGAAAGAGGTCACAAGGGCAATCAACCTTAAGGATGATCAAGGATTATCGATTGATTACTAAGGTGAGTGTAAAGGGGGTAAATTCTACGCCTTACGTTTTTTCCAGTATTTACTTTGAGTATTTTTAAGTGTTGATTTACGTGATGTGCATGCCGTATTTGATTCATGGTTGATGTTACATGATTATGTTTGATTATTTGTTCTTTGCTTGAGCTATTATTTGAGGTGGTTTTGTATGAGCTATGCCTGATGTGAATGTCCATGAGTTCTTAGTTAAGTTAAAGCTTCCCGTCTATAAGTCATTGTTAAAGTTTAAGAAACAAGTTCTTTTTAAGAAGTAACTCACCTTCAAGAAGGTGAAGTCGTTTTAAGTGTTTTTAGTCACTAGCGTTAGTCCGTTGCCATTTAAGATTTTCAAATAGAGCAGCAGTTATGCTCTTGAGATCTTTGAGACAGAGCAGCAGTTATGCTCTTGAGATATTTAACATGGGCAGCAGTTATGCCCTTGAGAATCGTGGTGAAGAGCCACCACGATAAGTTTAAGATGTTAGGGGGATGAATCATTACGACTTCCCTAGCTAAGTTTAAGTTTAAGGAAAGCCTGGATGGCTTCTCATACGTATGAGTTGGCAACCGGACTAGCTAGTGAGGGATCCCAGTGTCAGTCAAGTGTTTAAGTTGAGATTTAAGCTTTAAGAATGGAGAGTAACAGTTACTCCCATACAGTTTTAAGAGTTAAGATTTTTAAGAATGGAAGTACAAACAACTTCCCTCAGTTTGAGTTTAAGTGTTTGAGAAGAAGTGCAAAATTATTAGAAGGTTTAAAACGTAAGGGCGTAGACTGACCCCAACTCACTCACCAGGCCTTAGTAAGGGAATGAGCGAGAACCAGTTCAGTAGCAGCTAGCTAGAAGAGGAGTTAGAGAGCAGCGAGTTCGGGAGGAGCAGTTTGTGGACAGCCAGCTAGAGAAGGGAAGTACAAGCGCCACTGGGGATGTTTGGTCAAGGCTTTTAGGAAGCAGTAGCATTAGAGACATTTTAGTTGTTTCAGTCTATGATTATGAGTATAGGTAGATATCATTTTGAGATTTTAAAGTTTGAGTTTGCCCAAGTGTCAAGCTTTGTGTTTAAGTAATGACAGTTGTGTTCGGTATTTATTGAAGTTATTTATGAAATGTTTCCACTATTTTTCGCAGTATCCTCAGTTCTATTTTATTTCGCGGTTTATTGAGGGTATTTTAGTAAAAGTAGAACCCGACCGGGTTAGGGTGTTTCATTTTGGTATCAGAGCCTGGTCTTCCTCTGTTCCTTGGTCTCCAAGGAATACTGGAATATCTGTCTCAGTTTTAAAGGCTTTTGTTTTAAAGGAAAGGAAAACGAGTCAAGGATCTTCTTTTAAGAGTTTATAGGATTTCCAGTCTACTCTAATCATATGAAGGTGAATAACTATAACAGCACGGCAGGAAGGGATGGTAGCCTAGGGTGCGATTGTTTAAGAATAGACTGGGACGCGATTTGGTTAACATGTCGTGGTTTGTCAAATGAGAGATTTAGGCATTTGGTGATCATCAATATGAAAGAAAGGATGAAAGAAACGTGACCAACCCAAGTAGAATCTCAAAGGCTCTCAAGACCATGTATCTCATCGACATGTTGGATAGTAGTTTTTCAATTAGTAAACCAACTACTCGGACGTTAGCAAACAAATCATCATCATCAACCTAGAGAAGGAAGGAGGAACGTTGCAAGGGTCTGTGGAGGTAGAATTAAATATGTGAGGACTTCAACTCCAAGCACCAGCAAAGCGGTACCAACTAAAAGGGAATACCTCAAGGATTTTGAAGGAGTTGAGAGAGTAGTACGAGGATTTTACTACTAGGAAACAAGTGGATGATCTAATAAGCTAAGACAAACAGAGGGGAGAAATATGAATCTCCAAAGGAAGAGGAACAATCACTAGATGCCAGTAGCTATGATAATAGGATGATGTTAGGGTCTTTGGTCCTAAGCAGTGGAAAGTGGGCAACAGGTCAAGAAACGAAGAGGTACCACGAGAAGTCCCCCAACTAGTTTAGTGGTCAACGCTATTAAAACACAGTGACAAGGAGCAGTGGAAAGCTTAGACTTCAAGAGAAGCTAGGGTAGTGTAAATGAAGTAAATGAGGAAGTAAGTAGGTTAGAGGGGGTTTGAAAGGACGTTAAAGAGTCAAAAGGCCAAGGCGGAGAGGAGGCATAATCATTTACATATGACGATGAAGGAACCCTTGTAGATAAACTACGTCATCTAGAAGAGGGTACATGACCATGGGAAATTAGACCGGTATCAAGCTTTTGAAAGGGACAAGACAAGAGTCAACATGACCCTGGGGAGTTGGGCCGATGACAAGCCTTTAAAAGGAACAAGACAAGCAACGAGATAAATGATGTAGAGGTTGAGGTTAGATCAGGCATGCTATACACCTGTCAAGCGCAAGCTAGAGGACAAGGTATGAGAAGGGGTTGAGAGACCCTGCAAATTACCATGATCAAGGAGAATCAGAAAATCGTGGAATTTCAAGGAATCCATTGGGAAAGTCTAAAGTGGGAACTAGAGGGCCAAGAGCGGGAGTCTCGGAACCAGCCGTAGGAGTAAATCATTCAATCAACAGGGTATAGTCAAGCAAGTACAACGTTCGTTAGAAGTTCTAATGAAAGTTGGAGAATTCGAGGAAGAGTCTAAACGGTCGTAATGAAGAGAGTTTGCAAACAATACCAAGGAAGAGCAAAAAGGCTAGAGGGAGTTTGACGAGATTTCAAGAAGTCAATGGGTTAAGTCTCAGGTGACTCGAGGTCAAGAAGCTGCATAAAGAGGTACGATGAGGGAAAGCATTACCGAGAAGGAGGAAAAAGAGAAGTTACCTTATCCAAGGTGCACCACTCTGAGTGGGCGCGGCATGGTAGGAGGGCTCCAGAGGAGACAACTAGTTAAGGATGAAACAGGCACGCTTAGTTAAGCCACTAAGAATTCTAACTAAGAGACTAAGTTTATGTACAAGATCGATCAACAAAAGAGACATGGAATGAGTTATGTTAAAGGTTACCAAGAGCAAGCCACCATTGGAAGTGGTGACCTAAAACAACAACGAGAAGATACTCAACAGGAGTTTGGTGACCAAATATAGTACAAGGCAACAACGGAAGAGTAGTAAAAGTAAAGAAGCAAGGAGAACACCATAGGACGCTATAGGAAGTAAAATAAAGAAAAAAAGTGGTTGTCGACCGGACAATGAATGCGTGAAAGAAGATAGTGGGGACGTGGTCAAGCACCATCGTGAGTAGAAGTCGTGGGTGTCGTCTGTCAAGTCTACCTAGAGAAAGTTTCTAGTGGAAATGTTGGCTCTGAGGTATGGCGAGGAGCTACTAAACTGAGTAGATCAAGGCTAGTACCAAGCATCGATGAAGGAGTTAGGGAAGTAAGGAGGAAACCACAAGGCTATAATAAAAGTTATGGTGAAAAGGGTGGTAGTTGATAAAACGACAAATTCAGGGAGAAAGATAGTTAGGAAGAGCCGGTGAAAGAATACGAGGGTCAACAAGGAGGCGTTAAGGTGTTTGCCAGTGGAGAATAAGTTGGACCAGAGGAAGCCCATCAAGAACTGAGAAGCTCAATGGTCAACTTTAAAGTAGAAGTGTGGTGGTCCAGAACGGTCGAAGGGAAAACCTTATCGGTCAAGGTACATAAGTGAGAAGAGAATATGGGCACCAAGATGACTACATCGAGGACGGGGGACATATAGAACTAGCGAGAAACATCGGTAAGAGGAGTCACGAGTAAAGAAGTAAGATGTATATGAGTTTAGCGAACCTGCTAGGATACCCTAAAGTGAAAGCAATACCACCTATGAGGGTGAAATGTGGTGATCTCTCGGGTGAAATTTCTTGGGACGGGGAAATTGTACGAGGAATTTCAGGCAAGGTAAAAAAAAAACACAATAGAAGAGATCGTACGAGAACTCCCAAGTCAAACGATGATAAGGAAGTGTTAAGTTAGGTGCCAGGAGTGAGCAAGTATGCAAAATGGAAGGCATGATTCTGGAAGGGATTCATAAAGTTGATTGCAAGCTAGAGAAAGACGCAAAGGATGCCTCTAATGCATACAGGAAGTAGAAACAGTAGTATGAGGTTCCAACACTAAGCAGCAAGTAACGAGGCGGTGACCATTGAGTTTATGGTTAAGGGATAAGACGAGGCATTGAGGAAGAAAGTAAGAGATGCAGAGTTAGGAGATACAAGGACCTAGGTGACCTATGAGGTCAACTCCGGACGAGAGTTATGTTAAAGGAATTTTACCATCTGATGAGATGGAGGTGAAGCCGCCATTAGTAACCTTTGGGTTGAAAGGGGTATTAAGAACGCCAATAGGGATGTGTAAGGTATTTTCTCATGCTAAAGGAACCATATATGGTGAATCAGGCATCAAGTCTGCGTATCAAGTGGAGTTATCAAAGAGGAGAATAACGAGCCTATAAAGGGAAAAGAAGTGATACCTAGGAACCAGCATCGGAGTCAATCATTATGCAGGTCAAACATTCTCTACAGACATTCTATACCTAGGAGAGTCGTCAGCAGTCAAGATAGGGAGGACGAAGTTCAAGGTCTGGGCTTGTTATGAGCTGAAGTTACGACGAGTCCTTAGGTTGTCGCGATGAACAAATTTTGAGGTCAAAATTTTTCGCAAGGAGGGAGGAAATGTGATATCTCGATTTTGGATTTAGGTTCAACAACAACTACAGGGGAATTTGATCAACATGTCCAGTTAAGTCGTCATTTTTTTCATCACTTTCGAATGAAGTTATGAAATGAAAATGACAGTGAGTCACCCAAGGTTATACGAGTGCTACAAGCTAAGAAAATGTATATGATCAAAGGTTACTAGCGAATTTGTTATGGTAGAAATAAATGATCATGGGAATGAAGATTAAGAAGGGTTTCGACGGGAGGATGAATTCCGAGCAAATTTCGGGGATGAAATTTTTATAAGGGTGGAGGAAATGTTACACCCCGACCTTTGGGTTCAGGTTCGACCATAATACGTGAACGGTTGGATTAACGGTTACGTACTAAGGATTGCAACCGCGGATTAGGAATAATAATAATAATTATTATTATTATAAAAAAGGAATTTGGCGGGGAGGGCGCTCAACCCATAATGTATTTTCGCCAAAATCCCATCCCCATTCACTAAATCAGCTGCCCTCCCCATTCTTTCCTTAGAGGCCCTCTTCCCAAATCACTTCCCCCATCCACCGCCTCCCGAAATCCCTAGCGAGAAGAAGCCAAAAACCACCGGGTCGCTTTGCATTCTGGTCATGAGGCCGGACGAGAGCGATGGAACAGTGAAGTTGCTGTCTGAGTCCTTTGTGGAGTCCATGATGCTGCCCGATTGCTACTTGCCTTTGATTAGTTATTTGGGGGAAGCAAGGTTTCCAAGACGTAGGCTGGTGGTGGTACTGTAGCCTTCGAGTATTGTTGTCATGGCGGCGACGTCTGGAGAGGCTAACCGATTGTGGACGATATGACTGTGATGAGAACTTGGATTGTAGGTAAGCCAATCAGTTCCTCACGTACGTTAACTAAAGGATTTCATGGGATTAGTGAATTAATTGGACCAAGTGATCCTTTGTCCGGATGTGAAGGGGTTATTGTTTGCACGAGAAGAAAGAAGTGCTCTCCGCCACTCACGATGCCAAAGTTCAGGTATGGAAATTGTACATGTTGGAAAGAAGTTGAACGTGTCTATTGGAGGTGGCCGAAGGGGGACTTGATTATGCCCTCCCAGATGTGCTTGTGGTGTTGGACGTAAATAAAAATGTATCTGGTGGTGCTAGTTAGCGTTCCCAATGATTAGAAGGTCTAGCTGCGGCAGAAGGAATGATGATGGAATGGTGACCCAATAAGAAAGAGGTCACAAGGGCAATCAACCTTAAGGATGATCAAGGATTATCGATTGATTACTAAGGTGAGTGTAAAAGGGGTAAATTCTATGCCTTACGGTTTTTCCAGTATTTACTTTGAGTATTTTTAAGTGTTGATTTACGTGATGTGCATGCCGTATTTGATTCATGGTTGATGTTACATGATTATGTTTAATTATTTGTCCTTTGCTTGAGCTATTATTTGAGGTGGTTTTGTATGAGCTCTGCCTGATGTGAATGTCCATGAGTTCTTAGTTAAGTTAAAGCTTCCCGTCTATAAGTTATTGTTAAAGTTTAAGAAACAAGTTCTTTTTAAGAAGTAACTCACCTTCAAGAAGGTGAAGTCGTTTTAAGTGTTTTTAGTCACTAGCGTCAGTCCGTTGCCATTTGAGATTTTCAGATAGAGAAGCAGTTATGCTCTTGAGATATTTAAGATGGGCAGCAGTTATGCCCTTGAGAATCATGGTGAAGAGCCACCACGCTAAGTTTAAGATGTTAGGGGGATGAATCGTTACGACTTCCCTAACTAAGTTTAAGTTTAAGGAAAGCCTTGATGGCTTCTCATACGTATGAGTTGGCAACCGGACTAGCTAGTGAGGGATCCCAGTCTCAGTCAAGTGTTTAAGTTGAGATTTAAGCTTTAAGAATGGAGAGTAACAGTTACTCCCATACAGTTTTAAGAGTTAAGATTTTTAAGAATGGAAGTACAAACAACTTCCCTCAGTTTGAGTTTAAGTGTTTGAGAAGAAGTGCAAAATTATTAGAAGGTTTAAAACGTAAGAGCGTAGACTGACCCCAACTCACTCACCAGGCCTTAGTAAGGGAATGAGCGAGAACCAGTTCAGTAGCAGCTAGCTAGAAGAGGAGTTAGAGAGCAGCGAGTTCGAGAGGAGCAGTTTGAGGACAGCCAGCTAGAGGAGGGAAGTACAAGCGCCACTGGGGATGTCTGGTCAAGGCTTTCAGGAAGTAATAGCATTAGAGACTTTTTAGTTGTTTCAGTCTATGATTATGAGTATAGGCTGGAGATCATTTTGAGATTTTAAAGTTTGAGTTTGCCCAAGTGTCAAGCTTTGTGTTTTAAGTAATGACAGTTGTTTTCGGTATTTATTGAAGTTATTTATGAAATGTTTCCGCTATTTTTTGCAGTATCCTCAGTTCTATTTTATTTCGCGGTTTATTGAGGGTATTTTAGTAAAAGTAGAACCCGGCCGGGTTAGGGTGTTACAACTACAATGTTATTGGGAACAAGTGGCTGTACCGCATCAAACATCGAAACGACGACAGTATTGAGCGCTTCAAAACGGGGCTGGTATCCAAAGGGTTCCATTAGCGGCCTGACGTCGACCTTCACGAGATTTTCAACCCAGTTCTCAAACCAGTCAATGTACGGACGGTTTTCACACTGGCCCTCTCTCATGACTGGCCCTCTCTAATTGCCTTAGCTTTCTATCCCGGTGAAGACTAATCGTCTGTCGGTTAGCCTGTCTTAGAGGGCTTGGTCAGCTTAAGAGATTCCAAGCTACTATAGGATCTTCCGCAGTTTAACCAACAATAAATCAACCAAAGGAAATTACAACTTGAATCTAACTAAGGAGCTAGGGGGACTCATTCCCGAGTGACTCTTCTCTTGCTTTAGAAAACCGAACAATTTACTGCTTTCTTTCGGTTTAGTTTGAATGCACCTATACTCACTTAGTCCCGCTAGATAATTGAATTTCACGGAGTAGGCAGTTGATCTAGACCCCGCCGTTGCCTGGGAACCTAGGTTATTGTGGAAACGTGAAATTTTGTTACTCTAGTTTTTTCTTTACTGCATTCTCTCTCTTCCACCTGTGTGCCTTTACAGGTCGCTTTTGCTGATTGTGTGCAGGTAGTGCATGACCCGTAGCCAGTCGGGAGGTCTACTGCCATTGGATCAAGAATTAGAACGAACTTGTCATAACTTCAAGTGTTCTTTGAAGGCACGACTGCCTGCGGAGGAAGCTTTGGAGCAGCTGAACATCAGCCAAGAAGACGACATGGGAGATCCCAACAATGACAAGAACATTGTTCCTGATGAGCATACCATGGGATACTACTGGACTGCTAGAGCCGCAGACATGAGGTCGCCCATTCAGCACCCTCAAGTTCCAGCTAATAACTTTGAGGTGAGCACCTCTGTCATCACCATGATGCGCGACTCGATGGTATTCCGTGGGAAGGACGAGGAGTGCCCCAGATCGCACCTACGACGATTCCACGAGCTGATCGATGGAATCAAGATTAATGGGGTTCCTACGGACTTTGTCCAGCTGAGGTACTTCCCCTTCACTCTAGTGGGACAAGCAAAGGAATGGCTAGACACCCGAGCTCCGGGATCGATCACTACATTTGCCAGCCTGACCGACAAGTTCCTCACCCGACATCATTCACCATCCAAGATAGCTAACCTGCAGAAGGAGATTACTCATTTCACCCAGGAGGAGGATGAAACCATTCGGGATGCTTGGGAGAGGTATACCATCCTCTACCTTAAGTGTCCTAACCACAGTTTCAATGACGCCTTCAAGATGGCACCTTCTGTTGGGATAAGAAGCTTCTCATAAGCAAATAGTTTATGTATTGTGCACTATGTGAAAAGCTAATGGTTTGATTGAGATTGCAGAAAGAGAAACATACCTCTTATGCAGGCTATACATAATCATAATGGAAAAGGAAGTTATCGTGACAAAGCTATGTCAAAACTACGATACTCACAACCTTGCTGCTCAAGTTACAAGACATCAAATGAGTTGATTGTGAAAGCTTCTCAATCCACTGTAGAAGGAAAGAAACTGAAATGGCAACGATAGTGAATGCAATAGCAAGTGGCTGGTTCAGCATTACTCTACCAAAAGTCAATTGCTGCTTAAAAAGGAAAAGAAGATCAATAGCAAAGAAGGAAAGAAGTTCTGGAAAACTATGAATCAGACAAGGAAATCCCACAAAGAAGATCATGTACAACAGTACAAGAAAGCTGCAGAGAGCTCCAACGTACAAATCATTGCAAATCAAAATCAACAATTCAGCCACCTAATAAATCAACGCAAATAGAGAAGGAATTTGAATGAGCAACGTTTATATTCTTACTCTATAAAAGGCGGCCGGGAACAACCAGTAGCAGGAATTTCCGGGAAATCAAAACAAGTTAGTAAAACGCTGCAATTAGGTAAAGGGGTGTGTTCATTTGGTTGATTTATTTGGACCAGCGATTACCATTTGTACAACGGAAACAAAGGAACTGGAAGTGGGCTTGTTCTTTGTTGAGAACAGAATTGGGCCCAAGCCTTAATTCACCAGACCAATTCCCTCACTACATGTCGTTTCACAAACACAACCAGGGAAGCCACTTTCCTTTTACATTGATCAAACTCTCTTCCAAGATATCTCTATCACCTGTTCTTGGCAAAAGTTTCGAGTAAGAATTTATGCAGGTGTTCAATTGATTGACAAAGCTAGGAAAAAGGCCAATATGTTTCGCGCTCGACGCATCAACACCTTCTACCGTGCTCTCTTCCTAGAAGACAAATAGCTGATCGACTCGGTCCGTGGCGGGAATATGCTAAACAAGACGCCACCGCAGTTGAACCAACTCTTTGAATAGATGGCGGAGCAGGGATATGACTGGGGTACTACGCGGAGGTAGAGAAGAGCACCTGGCCGGGGTGTGCATGCCGTGGACAACCAGTCGTCTGACTTGGTACAGGTTGTTTCATAGCTGGTCAAGCAGCTGGATAAGATGGGTATGATCTTCGATGGAGCAGTGCAACAGCTGGTAGCAAAATTCCAGTGGTGCGAGAGCAGCCACCACACGGTGGAAGACTGCTAGGCGATGAGGGATTCTACTACCCCTCAAGAGCAGCTGGACTTCATCAGCAATGCTCGGCGCTTCGACCCCTACAAAACACATATAATGAGGGGTGGCGCCAGCACCCAAAATTTTCTTGGGGAGGTAATGCTAATCATAAGCCAGCAGTCGCCCAGGGACCTCCTGGTTTCTAGAGACCGCTATACCAGTCCAGATAGTGGCAATTCAAGCAGTCACAACCTCTTTATCCTACCAGGCAGTAATAGACTGTTCCTCAGCAGCAGGCGCATAAGTTCCAGCAGCCGGGTGCGGTCCCAGCCACCCCCAGCACCGCGTGACTAGATGGCGGAGCTGCGAGACATTGTTGGTGCCCTGGCCAACACTAGTGCCCATAAATTCAGCAACATGGAGCGGTTCATGGAAAAGGCTTCGGGGTAGTTCCTGGACCTTAAAATTGGTCAGAGGTCACTTGAAGCTGGCCAAAGGGACACACAGGCGGGTTTGCAGGATATCCAGATCTAGCTGGAGAGTGTAGCTCAAGCAGGGGCACAAAGGGCTCCAGGTACCTTACCGGGTCATACCGTTCCTAATCCGAAGGTCCTGAATGGCCACTATACTGCTGTTACTACAAGGAGCGTCAAAGTGTCTGCAGACCCACCTGTCCAAGCCAGACAAGAGAGAAAGACACCTCCTTTAGCACTTCCAACTGTTGAAGAAGAAATGGAGAAGGAGGTTGAGGTGCTTGCTCCTAAGCCGCAAGTAGTGGTGAAGGAGTATGTCCCTCAACTTCCCTTTCCTACTCGGTTACACAAAGACCGACTGGAGACTGAGTTTGCCAAGTTCATGACAATGCTAAAGTAGGTGAACATAAGCATGCCTTTCGTGGAGGCATTGTCAAAGATGCCCAAGTATGCTAAATTCATGAAAGATCTCCTCACCAACAAGAAGAAAAAGCTAAGTGAGCTGGCCACTGTGGAGCTTAGCGAGGAGTGCTCGGCCATTCTACAGAACAAGCTTCCGCAGAAGCAAAAGAACGCAGGTAGTTTCACGATCCCATGTTTTATCGGTAAAATGCAAGTTGAGAGGTCCCTGGCAGACCTAGGTGCCAGTATTAATGTTATACCCTATGCTCTGTACAAGAAGCTAGGACTAGGTGAACCCAGTAACACCAGGATGAGTATTCAATTAGTTGATCGATCTGTAGTTCATCCTAGGGGCATAGTGGAAGACCTCCTGGTTAAGGTTGGCAGAATGTTTTATCCTGCGGATTTTGTTGTCTTGGACATCAATAAGGACGCAGAAGTGCCCCTTATTCTAGGTAGGCCTTTCCTGGCTACCGCCAAGGCTCACATAGATGTGCATGATGGGACCTTGATCTTGAGAGATGGCGAGGAGCATATAATATTTTCCATTGCTAATAACATGAATGATATATTTCCTGTGCATGCTTTATCTCACCAGGTACACGAGGCTCTCATGTATCCTCATGTGTCTCCCATTTTGCAGGACTTTGCACCCCCTCCTCCTCCACCACTCCCGCTTCCTCAGTTACCAAAAGAGCGGATTAAGAAGCAGTGGCGGCCGAAACTGCAGGTAGCTAAGCCTGCTCAAAAGAAAGCTGGAGACCACTATGAGTTGGTCCCAGATCCTAAGCCACGGCCACCCTGGCCATCTGAGTATTCCCTCGCGTGCATCCTGCTGGATGGCCAGGTCGAGTTGACATGAGCAAGTGGACACACCTGCCGTGTGCATGGCCACCATCTAAAGCTGTAGCTCAAGAGCGATGTGGATCCGCTCTTGGAGGCACCTGTTCCTCCACCGCTCTAAGCATCCACCCTCTGCGTCCAGCTAACGACGTAAAAGAAGCGCTTGTGGGGAGGCAACCCCACCATGTTTTGCTCTTCTTTTGTTTATTTTTTGGTTTTTCCACTTGGAACTATGGTTTCTATCATCCATTGTCTTTTGATGACTCTAGCTCTGTCCCTTTGAACTGGTCTCCTTCCAGTCCCCTGCTCTTTACTGGTCTCCCTTCTAGTCACCGTTCATGCTCATCATTTCCTGGTAACATCGTTCCCTTTCCTCTGCTCTATTGAGGGAAATGTCGAATTTAAGTGTGTGTGTGTGGGGGGGGTGCTTTGTCTCTTTTGGAACATATGTTGGTGTGCTTGGAGCCTAGTCCACTGTCCAAATCTATAGATTTGAGGGCTCCAAGTACTGATGTTTGCATGATCATATTGGCACTGTGGCTTATGTGGTGAATCGATTGGCTGTTAACATTAATGCATGACAACTTGATTGCGACTTGGACAACCTGTAGTGATGACTGAGACGTGCAATAGAGTTGTGTAGGGGTTCAGTTTTTCAATTGTTTGCTTACCAACTACTTGGATTGATCACTTATTTTCTAAAGTCGTTCATGCATCTAGTTCAGGAAATCAGAATGAGAGATAGAGCATATAGGCAGCCATGTGAGATTTGAGCCTACTCGTTTCTTTCTTGTGCGATAGATCCCTCTTCCATGATGTGTAGAATTCACGTTGCCACTAGTGAGGATGATGGAGACATAGGATTAGCCCACGACCAAATTGTCTGTCCTGGTGTCATACCCCCTAGTCAGCCCCTTTGAGCCGTGTAACTTTATTTCTTTCGGTCTTTAATGAAAAATCACCCTTTTTGCCTGCATCTCTAAGAGGTTCCACAGAGTGGTTTTTGCATGTTCTTTGCTGTTTCTGCTAGAAATAATATGAGAGTTGGAGGTAGTTCTTAAAATTTGGGGATGTGTTTGAAAAAATATGTAGAGGTGGTAGTTCTCTCAATAAATGAAGAAAAAAAAATGAATGAAATCAAAAGAGAGCCAACATAAAAATCTGAATCATGCTCATTAAGTAGTGTCTCTTAGCAGTCTGGCTTAGAAATACTAACATGTTGTGACCTCCTTCACTCTTGTGCTCTAAAGAACTTGATTAATGCATAATAGCAGAGAGAAAGTAAATGGTTTGAATGAATGCTGTTTTGTTTGGTTTTGGAACTGTGGAACCTTGTGTTATGAATTCTTCCACCACCTAAAAGGCATTTTCCCCATGTCCAAGACCCTAGCCAGTCATCTGAACCCGTGTCTAAGACCTTCTTACTAGTTAGTGGTGACACCCGATATGTGAACTCTAACATTTAGAGGCTGCCATCATGGTGAAGAGACGTTGGGATTGAGAGAATAAGCATGTGCATTTTCCGCATCAAATTGTCCTGACCCCACTGGTCGAGAGTGAGCGATTCATTTCCCTATATTATTTACATTCTTTTCCCTGGTGAGGACCTAGATTGCTCGGTCTTGTTTCTGATGTCTTGAATTTTATGCATGAGGTGACTGTCTTGAATAAATGGTTGAGTCAAGGCTATGTTGGTTGGTGAACAGAAGGGAGACTCATCCTTTACTCCATTTTGCTGCAGTAGAATGTCATCTGTGGTGGTTGTCTAGGTTTTCGTTGAGGTTGTTCATGTGTTGATGTCTAAAAGCCAGTATGATCCACGTGTTGTGTGCCCATATGATATGTCCCCAAGGCTTGCATGATAAATATTTTTAGTTTACCTTGTATCTGACTTGGTTTGCTTGGGGACAAGCAAACGGTTAAGTGTGGGGGAATTTGATAGCATCATATTTGCACATGTTTGCACCTTTGTTTCTTAACTGTTTTAGCTTGGATTTGTGGTTCCTTGACCTATTTCATGCTAGGTTGTGTTATTCTATCATATTTCAAGTCCTAGCGAATAAAGGGAGGCATACGCGCAAGTTTCGATCAATAAGAGGTCGTTTGGTCACTCAAAAGCCTCTCAAAAGTGGAGCTGAGAATGAAATACGGGTAGGCAGACTACCTAAAAATACGTCCGCAATTCAAAAATTACTGCCGGTATTTTTTTATGCCGAGCCTGGTGATGGCTCAGGTACAAAATACGGCCAGTATTCCCAAAAATACGATCGTATTCCTCAGTGTCTAGCCTGTAATTTCAATGCCGAGATGAGCCCTTGGATGCCCTGAAACTTAACCAAAACGCGCGTTTTGTGCAAAATACGAGCATGGAAGAATTACGACTGTATTCTTGTCCGTATTTCGCCCATAATTGGGTTGAAGAGGGAGATTTGAGCCAAAGGAAAGGGATTCGACTTTTTGGAAGAATAAACCCTAGGAGCTATTTGGAGAGGATTTCTCACAATTGAAGCCCAGATTGCATCCCCAAAAGTGAAGATTGATATCACATAGCATATTATTCCCATCTTTATGAGTATGACTGCTTTGATTTCTGTTTTCCTCTCTCTCTATGGAGTATACCTTTCTCTCACTTGGGTATGAAGAACGCTAGTTCCATGTATTAGGGATCTCGATTTTAATAACTTTTGGGATGATATATTGTTTGATTATAATCTATTGAAGTGTGTTTATCGAGTCAATTGAATCCTGATAAACTTCTTTTGATTTCTGCTGCAACCTGAGATAGATAGAATCTGATTAGGTTGTTAGAGCTTCTTCAATAGGTAAGAGTGAATTGATTGTACGAGAGTTAGTCAATTCAGTGCTTTGTACTGGAATATGTTTCCAGTAGTGGAGTTCTGTGCTAATTGCCTTAGATTTCTATCCTAGTGAAGACTAGTCGTCTGCCGGTTAGCCTGTCTAAGAGGGCTTGGTCAGCTTAAGAGATTCTAAGCTACTGTCAGATCTTTCGCAGTTTAATCAACAGTAAATCAACCAAAGAAAATTACAACTTGAACCTAACTAAGGAGCTAGGGGGACTCATTCCCGGGTGACTCTTCTCTTGCTTTAGAAAACCGAACAATTTACTGCTTCTTTCTGTTTAGTTTGAATTCACCTACACTCACTTAGTCCCGCTAGATAATAGTATTTCACGGAGTAGGGAGTAGTTCTAGGCCCCGGGTTGATAAATTAAACTTAATCACTATTATGCATTTCCATTATGCAATTACACTTGGTCGCAGTTTGGTGTTGTGTTTTAGCGTGTCAAGAAGCCAAAAAACACGACCAGGATCTCCAGTCGTGAAGTCTCGCTGAAGATCGCGGCCCAGAAGCCAAAGATCGAGATCGCGATCTTGGAGCCCTAGGGCATGAACTTCGCGAGGAAGGAGCCATGGATGAGCAGAGACTTTCTCGAGTCAAATCACAACCAACGTGCAAAATGTTCGCGAGGAAGGTCATGGTCGTGACTCAAGGATCGCGACAGCGAAGTCAGGACGCGATCTCCCCCGTCCTTAAGGCCTCGACAACAATGTTTTGAGATCACGACCTAGTGACCAAAGATCACAGCCGCGATCTCCCTACCTCAGGCCGCGAACTTCCCCGAAGCCAAGTTGCCTATAAATAGAAGACCCCATTCCCCTTTCCAAGTGAGCTGATTTTTGGTGAAATTTCTCGTTCTAAAGAGAGAGAGAAGTTGAAGAGAGAAAAAGAGAATGACAAGAAGGAGGAGCTAGGAGCAAGGATGCATCTTCTACCCCAAGTCTTCTTCTATTTTTACCATGTATCTTCTTCCCTCCTTTATGGAGTATTCCTCAAAGATACTAGGGGTTCTTAACCCCAAACCCTAATTTTAGGATTTATTATGTATGTATGGATATTCTAGGGTTTGAATGAATGTGTTTGTCTAGTTGATTTTTAATGCCACTCTTTCCTAAATGATGACGCTTGGGTAAGTCACCGTAATCTCCCCTCTTAGCCTACTTTATGCTTCTGCGCTGGGTAAGGAGTTCTAAGGAGATGGGTATGCACCATCTAGCAAGTTTAGGTTAGATGAGTGAATGGGGGCTTATAGTGGTCGAGGGGACCGAACCCCTTCTATAGGTAGCCTTCGTAGATGGAACCCGGGATGAAACCTCGGTGTGGACGGTGGATTGTGTCCATTAAAATGAGCCATAAGCTTAAAGCCCAAATACGATAGCCTAGATCGAGGTGACTGAAACATGGGTTAAGGGGAGGCATACTCGGAGGCGTGTGGATAACAACGAAGGCCCACGGAAAAGATCTCACTCACCACATTCGACAACCATAAGTAGTATCCCTAAACTAGGGGGAGGATTAGTTCCCCGAAGTACCTGATTTTAGCTTTCATCAACCTCTAGACTAATGTTTCCTCATATCCTCCACTCAGAACCTCAAAATTTTTTTTTCTAATTAACAACAAGTTGGGAAGTAGGCTAGGGTACTAGGACCCGAGTAGAATACGACTTTGATTACCACTATACGACAATGCCGTCCTAGGTTGAACTTGGCTTAGGATGGGATGGTTGTTGATACGTGCAAACCACTGACAATAATATGCACGGATTCAAGTGATCAAGCTTTTTGGCGCCATTGACGGGGATCCTTGGTAACTAGTAGAAAATCATTAAGTTGTTATTTAGTTTTTTCCTTGCTTTAGTGGTTTGTTTTGTGTTGTGTTTGTGTTGCTGGTTTGTTTTGTTTTGTTTTTGTGCTTTCCTTTCGTATTCTGTTTTCATATTTGTGTCTTTGTTTGTATTGTTATTTGCCACTTTTGTATGTCACGGGTTGTTGAGGTTGTGTTTTGTAGCATCCTTGTATGCAAAGAAGGGACTCCTGGGAAGTATTACCTCTCGATTCTGAAATCGAGAGAGCCCTTCAGAATCTAAAAAGAGTTACAAGACCTCAACCTCCACCAATGGCGAAACATCAAGCTCAAGTACCACCTAGGCCAAGAACAATGGGTACTTACTCTAGGGCAAGCGTGGGCAATGTTCAATCACCTATTCTTCATCTGACGTTACCCAAAAATGATTATGAGATCAAGCCAGGCACAATATCGATGCTTCAAAGTGAGGATCAATTCAACGGGATGATGAGTGAAGATGCACATGCGCATGTCAAGTCATTTTACGAGTTGACAGATGGAATCAAGGCGAATGGGGTTCCTCAAGAGGCTATCTGACTAAGGTTATTACCATTTACCTTGAACGGAGCGACAAAGAAGTGGTTGAATAATCAACCACATCACTCAATCACCTCATGGAATGATCTATGCAACAAGTTCTTTGCAAGGTACATTCCACCTTCTAAGACAACTTTGATGAGAAGTGAGATTACTATGTTTCGTCCAGCGGAGAATGAACCATTGTTTGAAGCATGAGAAAGATTTACGTCTCTCCTACTCAAGTGTCCTCACCATGGCGTAGCTGATTGGCTATAAGTCAAAAGCTTCTATAGTGGGTTAACAAAGGAATCACGGAGCCTCATTGATGGGGCTAGTGTAGGTGCCATTCGGAACAAAGAAGTTAGAGAATTTCAACAATTAATCAAAGAGATGGCCCTTAATAGCTACGATTGGGGTGACGGAAGAAGAGGCAAGAGCATATCAAAGGGAAGTTTATTGAAGAATGAAGATCCATCGTCTCTATCGACCCATATCCAAGAACTTTCCAAGAAAATCGATCAAGTTGCATCATCAATTAAGGGCAATGGGAAGCAACTTATGAAGGATGATTGATGCGGTGACTGGAGTCATAATATGGAAGAATGCAAGTCTATGATTGAAGCTTCTATACAATTCGAGCAAGTCAACTTTGTTGGAGGTCAATCTCGAGGAAACAACCCTTATAGCTCGACGTATAATCCGGGATGGAGGAATCACCCGAACTTTCTTTGGTATTCTGCAATGGATAGGAACCCTCCGGGGTTTCAATCTCAAGCTCCAATGCAAAATTCTTACCAAAGGCCGAGTTAACCTACATACCAAGGAGTGTTTCAAGAACAAAGCTGACCCTCCGATGGTCGACTTGCTAAACTTGAAGATCTGCTAGGCCAATTTGTCACACATTCCAATAAGAAGTTTGAAGCTTTTGACAAGTTCATAGAGAATACCTCAACCAAATTCTCGAGTTTGGAAGTGGGTCAAAGGAATCAACAAGCTTCACTTCAAAATCTTGAAGCTCAACTAAGTTCATTGGCTCAAACTATCTCATTGAAACCTCAAGGAACTCAACCAGGCAATACCGAGCCGAACCCAAAAGAAGGATGCCATGTGGTAACTCTAAGGAGTGGCCGACCGTTGAAGGAGATTCATATTTCAAATCCAAGGATCCCGGTAAGAGAAGTTCATGAATAAGTTGTTCAAGAAGAAGTAGCCCGGGAGGAATTACAACCGCCATTAAATTCAATGTCGAGGATGAGGGAAAAATCTAAAAAGACTCATGAACCCGAGCCAACATCAAAAGCTCCTTATCCTAGAAGGTTATTTGAAAGTGATCTTTATAATGAATGTGCTCCATGGAAGGACACATTGAAGCAATTAAAGGTAACCGTTCCTTTCATAGACATGGTATTGAAGATCCCTAAATATACAAAGTTCTTGAAGGAAATTTTGTCGGGAAAGAGGAAAATGGAGGAGGTAGCTATGGTATCCGTTAGTGAAGTTGCTTCAGCATCCATTGGGTATGGAGGATTCCCTCCCAAGTTAAGATATCCGGTAATCTTCACTATTCCATGCACTTTTGTAGATAAAATATTTTGGAACCCGTTGGCCGACTTGGGGTCTAGCATCAACATCATGCCTACACGGATATACAATGATTTGAACCTTGGACCACTCACTCCTACTAAAATGCGGATTGAGTTGGCCAATAGGTCTGTTGTCAAGCCAAGAGGAATCATAGAGAATATCTTGGTAAAGTGTGCTCATTTTGTCTATCCAGTGGACTTCGTGGTTCTAGACACGGAGGGGTATGAAGCATCGATTATTCTAGGCCGACCATTTCTAGCTATGGCACGGAATATCATTGATGTAAGTGGAATCAAGATCACATTAAGGTTTGGTGAAGGGGAGATAAGCTACAAGATTACTCTAATCCCAAATTTCCACAAGTATTACAAATGGGACGATGTCAAGAAGGATTGTGAGCCGGTTACACCTCCTACCACACCGCCTTCAAGTCCCAAGATTGAATGGTTCAATATGGTCTCCCATGTTGACCCCCATGATTATCAATTTGAAAGAGGGAATGATTTTTGCAAAAATATGAAGAAATCGGGCAAAGAGAAATCTTCTTGCAAAATGCAAACCCAAGAGTTGTTCAAGGTTTCTCATCTCTTCGGTGATCATGGAAGAAAGCTCTGAAGGTTTATCTTTGAAAAGAGACATCCTAAGAAAGGAAACCAATTTGTTAAAGGCGATTTAGCTCCTATTCTTAAAAATGAAGAGTTCGGGGAATGCTACAAGCCATTCACGGATAATGACATTTCTATCAAGGAGCCTCACCCTCACCATCTTGCAAATCAAAGGGATCCTTTCTATTTCAAGCACTGGACGAGGCATCCGAGAGACTCCATGGTCTTCACCTTGGACTCCTGACTCACTTCTACTGTCACTCTAGGAATTGGCCAAGTGAAACCACTCCTTAAAGTGTAGTATAGCGGGTTTGGGTTTAAATGTCAACCCGGGTCCTAGATTTGATGACTACTCGGTGAATTCTTGTTATCTAGCAATGTAACTTTAATGCAAGTCTAAACTAACAAACAAACAAAGCAACTAAACGGTTGTATTCAGGTTAAGAGAGGTCACCCGGATATGGTTCCCCCTAGACTGCAGTTAAGTCGGATTGCAATTACCAAGTTCAGTTTCTATGATAGTTATACTGCGGAAGGTTCTTAAACAGCCCGAAGTCTCGACTAAAGGTCTTCAGACCCTCTCAATCTGAGTCTCTAGCGGGCGACTAACCTCCACCGGAGTAAACAGATTGAGGCCTTAACGAACAAAACCTCCACTACCGAAGTGAATTCGGTACAGAATAGTGAGTGGCTCCTCGACTAAAGTCACCAACTCCCTACCTTCAATCAAGGATGCTCTATCAACCTAGGCAGATATTCTCATTCTAGGTTAAAGCAGAAACAACAGGAATTTGATCAGGATTCATGCCATTCAATCATTCAAACCTCAATTGAATATAATCAAATCATAGAATCAGTACTTGGGTTCATACAATCAAACCTAACATACAAATCTAGGGTTCTCCATACCCAGATGAATGGGAGAACTACTCCATGGAGAAAGAAGCAAAAGCAGAATCAGACGCGGAATTCATACTGTGAAGGATGGATTCCTGCTCCTGGACGTTGATCGGCACTTCTCCAAGCTCAAGCCAAGCTCCAATGGTGATGAAGATCAAGCTAGGGCACTTGGAGACTCTTGTTCGCCGCTTTCTCTCTCTAGGAATCGCTCTGTCTCTCTAAAATCGAATCCCCTTGATCTTTGGCCTTCTTTTCCTTTAAAACAGCTGCCTGTCGCGATATCCGGTCGAAATACCCGGTCGGGTATTTTGAGTCTCGACCGGGTATTATTAAAACGCGCGTTTCGTGCCAGGGGAAAATCCCCGGTCTGCTCCAATAATCCCCGACCGGGGATTTAAGCTTCACGCCCTGGCCCCCCTCTGTTTCTCACAGGTGCCAAAATAATAAATACCCGGTCGAGTATTTGAGCCCCCGACCTGGTATTTTCCTCCTGCAGCACACTTCAACCCAACTTCGCTCCTTGCGACCCCAAAACTCGTTTCCTCGCCTCGATTCCAACGCCGGGTCCTGAAATATGACATAAACACACAACCTCGTGTGAAATCGGCTTAAACACGAGAGTCAACCTCTCAAACGGCTCAAGAATAGGGGTAAAAATATGTGTAATTATTGGTCTATCAACTCCACCACAAGTATGACTTCTACGAATGGTCATCGGTGAAGAATGGAGGACTCTCCATTTGATCTTAAGGAGTCAAGTCCGGCGAAAAGACTTTTAAATATGCGTTTGTTGAGAGGCAACCCAACACTTTGGTTTGCATATATTTTCCCTTTCATTTTCTTTTTAATTAAATAGAAGCTTAGTTAGAGCATTAGAGATGCATTGAGATTGATTGATAAGACTTAGCCTTCTTTTGGAAGCTTGATTGAATGTTTGGATGAATGCTTGAACTAAGAGAAGTGGAGAAAATGAGTTGTCCTGAACAGGGCAAAGATTGCGGTTGACAGGGCAAAGATCACGGTCGTAATTTTGGGTGCCCAGCCTCTTTAGATCTAGGTGCATTCACTTTTTTTACCATTTTCTAGATCTATATGCCATTACTCTCCAACTCTTGACTCTTTGAACCCACCTTCTTTAATCTCATCTTCCAACAACTTTTGAGAAGGGTTTACTTTTGATTTTGAATTCCCACCATGTCCCCTAGCAAGATAAGGTACACTTTTCCTTGTTTGGTTTTATTTAATTGCCTTATCTGACCCAAAATGTGTTGATTGCTTAGAATCTTTAATGCTCATTTTCTACTTGGAATGACATCTTGACGACATGAGATTGTTTTTCTTTTCTTTAATGAATCCTCTATGTCACTTTTAATGCCTTGGTGGGTTATGCCCATGCATTTATGTCATCTTCAACTACCACCCACCAAGTGTTTGTGAAAAGTCTCCAACGACATAGAGTTCATTATTTGCAATACTTTGGATTAAACATCAATTTCATTGCATGGGGTGTTAGTCATTGATTGTTCCTACATAAATTTGGGGATATCCTTCTTACTATTTTAGAGATATCTCTCTATCCAATTTCCCTCTTTTGCCAAGTCTTTAGTCGCATTCAAGGGCTACCCTTAGGCGAAAGTACTTGTCTCAATTGGATTCTTTTCGCCCAACTTGGAATTGAAGATGCAATCCACTCTATAGAACAGAAATTAGAATGGCTCAAGTTGCTCTCTATTCAAGAACACATATATCGGGTGCTTGTTATTGAGTTTATTAGTACGCTCACTATTCGAGTCATGAGGGGTGCCGCGACCTTGAGGATAACATTCAGTTTCAACTCGAAGGAGAGAACCGTCACATGTCAATCTGGGAGTTCACTAGAGAAATGGACATCTACGCGGTGGGCTTCATTGATTCACCTAATGATTTCGCCACCTTGGCAAAGGAATCCGACTTCCCTTGTTTCAAGGCCTTCTATGAGTCTGAAGTCAAGAAACCCGAGAGCCAACAATAGGAAGTGAGACTATCAAAAGCCAGTGAGGTGCAACCGGAGTGGCAGCTCATCCACCACGTGATTGCTAGGTTTGTGGGAGGAAAGAACCGGTGTAAGGGAAATCTCATCGCCTGAGACATCACCCTATTTCATAGCATGTGCCTCCCACAATCTCTCAATCTCGGTCTATCAATCTTATCTATTTTCAAGCGTTACAAGATGGATCGCCGACTTGTCGCACTCCACAGAGGAGTGTACGTCACCCGACTTGCCAAATATTTCCAAGTCGACTTCAGAGCTGTACAATTTCGATTGGATCGTAGGACCGTTCCTATATCCTTTGATTTCTTGAAGTCGAAACTTAAGATGCTATACATGAGCAATGATGGCATTTGGGGTGTGCGGGGATTGCCATTTCCAACAACCAATACATTGGACATGGGAGGAACCATATTCCATCTTCCGTAAGCTAGGAGGGAAACGGTTGAAGAGGATTGAGAACCGAGGAAAACCAAGAGGAGAGCGTGCGTGAAGGAAGAGATGTATCTATTCCCACTTTTCAACCGGTTCACCCACCGAGCAACAATGCAAGATATCATAGAATTAAGGCTAGGAAAGCGGCTATCCTTCACAACCAACGAAGGGAGAATGAAGCACGACTTCACATCATGGCGTGCATCCACACGATTCAACCGCTCCACCCCTTCTGCACTTTCCCACGATGAAGAAGGACCCTCCTAGTAGGAATGAGTTCTAGGCATCCAGGGCCTAAGTTCTATCTTTTCTTTATTTAAATTAAAACAATGTTTAATTATCGCGTTATTTTCATTTTACCTTTCTTACATTAAATATTCTGTCGGTAGTAGTAGTACTTATTATATATATTTATCGTACCTATAACTCCTATTCGTCTTCCTCTCTATCTTATGTGCTTTATCTTCGTGAATACCACCAAGAAGACAAAGACTACACTTGTGAACCTTCACCAACCCACAACCCGAACTATGGTAATATTCACGATATTTTCTTTAAGAACTCCCACATTGAGGACAATGTGTTACTCAAGAGTGTGTGTGTGTGTGTGTGTGGGGGGGGGGGGGGGGGGTGTTTGTGCATGTTTGAATGTTTATCATGATTGGTGCAACCGTTTATTGCTAGTATCCTCCCTTGTTTGTGAATGTAAGACGTTAGTGAATGCTTATAGGAGTCTATGCTAGTGATCATGCCTTTGTTGTGGTGATGAATGATGAAATATTAGTGTTTTTGGAACCTTGAATGCACACCCAATTTTTTTTCAAATTTGAGGGTTCCAAAACACCTTGTCCTCGCAATTACCTACTTGATGTGCTTTGATTTGACTAGATTGATTGATGTATTGTGCATCTTAGGTGATAGTTGCATGGTTTGAGTATCAGTTCGTGAGGGATTTTACTACTTTCCTCCTCTAGTGTTTGCTATCTTAGGAAGGCATTGTGTGCGAGATTCTCCCCTTTTATGTGAACTAGGAACTTTTTCAATTTGTGCTTAAAAATAGAAAAGAGGTTCTCACGTGAGTTGCAACCAGGCAAAGAATTGAGATAAACCGTAAAATGATTGTTCTCTTGGCTCGGAGTGCCCATCGAGGATGTGTTTGGGGTTCAGATAGCTTTATTGCGTCCCGATCATCTCTTACTACTTACCATCCCCCAAAAACCTCTCCTCCTCACGGAATTGTATGATAAGGACCAAAGTTACCTTTTAGCTATTCATGAGACCTCATAGCTCTCTTTTGTACTCAACATGTGTGGCAACCCAATGTGGAGTGCAGGCTGGGGCATGGTGTTCGGGCTAAGACAAATGCGACCATCAATTACCCCACATGTGACCTTGAAAGGGAAGGCTATGATTCATCTGCTCTTGGTCATGAGGGAGAGATGCTATTACTCAATAAAATAAATTGCAAGAGTTCGGTGCAATGTGCATGAACGGAGAAAAAGGAGACCGAAAAATGACAACTCCTACATCAAAAGAAAGAACAAAAGCACCACTTATAGTTCTATTATTAGTTTGTTGTCGGAGAATCCCTTGGAGTCAATTTTGAATGATCGGCCTAAGGTAGTAGATATGATCCTCACACGAGAGTTTGTGCTTGCACAGTAGGAAGGTAGTAGCATTCATTCATCCCTGTATACTCTTATCTATTCAATGAAGAACTAGCATGCATGCCTCATTGATTCATCTATCATATTGCATTAGGTTTGAGTAGGTTTTCTTGAGGACAAGTAAACGCCTAAGTGAGGGGGAGTTTGATAACACTAAAATCGGTGTTATTTACCCTCTATCTTATAGTATGTTTTGTGAAAATTCATGTGCTTCAGCGGTTAGACATTGTCAAATACGTTCCTATTTCGTTCCTATTTTATTTTGATGTGATTATAGGGTGTATTAGTCAATATGTGCAAATTAGGCACAAAACAAGGTCACACGTGTAGAAAGGGGAAAGGATCAAAGATGGTGGCATAGAAGCTAAAGATCACGGACGGGATCTCCAGTCGTGAAGTCTCGTTGAAGATCGCGACCCAGAAGCCAAAGATCGCGAGTTCGCGACCACGATCTTGGAGCCCCAGGGTGTGAACCTCACGAGGAAGTAGCCATGGATGAGTAGAGACTTTCCCCGATCAAATCACGGCCAACGTGCAAAATGCCCGCGAGGAAGATCGCGGTCGTGACTCAAGGATCGCGACAGCGAAGACAGGCCGCGATCTCCCCCTTCCTTAAGGCCTCGAAGACAACGTTTTGAAATCACGGCCCAGTGACTAAAGATCACGGCCGCGATCTCCCTGCCTCAGGCCGCGAACTTCCCCAAAGCCAAGTTGCCTATAAATAGAAGACCCCTTCCCCCCTTTTAAAGTGAGCTGATTTTGGGTGAAATTTTTGGTTCTAGAGATAGAGAAGAGAGAGAAGCTGAAGGGAGAAGAAGAGAAGGAGGAGCTAGGAACAAGGATGCATCTTCTACCCCAAGTATTCTTCTATTTCTAACATGTATCTTCTTCCCTCCTTTATGGAGTAGTCCTCTAAGGTACTAGGGGTTCTAAACCCCAAACCCTAGTTTTAGGATTTATTATGTATGTATGGATATTTTAGGGTTTGAATGAATTAACGTGTTTGTCTAGTTGATTTTTAATGTCACTCTTTCCTAAATGATGACGTTTGGGTAAGTCGCCCTATTATTCCCTCTTACCCTACTTTATGCTACCACGTTGGGTAAGGAGTTACAGGTTTAGAAGGGTATGTGCCAGCTGGCGAGTTTAGGTTAGATGAGTGAATGGGGGCCTATAGTGGTCGAGGCGACCAAACCCATGTTATAGGTAGCCTTCCTAGACGGAACTCGGGATGAAACCTCGGTGTGGACGATGGATAGTGTCCATTGAAATGAAGGCCCACGGAAAAGAACTCACTCACCACATTGGATAAGCCTAAGTATCTATACATGCATAGTATCCCTAAACTAGGGGGAGGATTAGTTCCCCGAAGTACATGATTTTAGCTTTGATCAACCTCTAGACTAGTGTGTCCTCATATCCTCCATTCGGAACCTCAAAAACCGATTACCTAATTAACAACAAGGTGGGAAGTAGGCGAGGGTACCAGGACCCGAGTAGAATACGACCTTGATTACCACTATAAGACAATGTCGTCCTAGGTTAAACTTGGCTTAGGATGGGGTAGTTGTTGATACATGCAAACCGCTGACAATAACATGCAGGAATTCAAGTGATCATCAACCGGTCCTATAGATGACCCAGATGAAGATGACCTAGAGGAAAAAGAGCTAGAAGTCAAGGGACTCGAGGCCTGTGATGATGAGGAATTAGACTGTGAACCACCAGGAGATGCATAACTGTCGTCATCCATTCCACTTGAGCCACTAGAAGAAGAAGTTCCATTCAAGCCACTAGAAAAAGAATTCTGTAACTCGGCGCTATTACAGCCAGGATTGTCGGGTGGTGAAGAAGAAGATGACATATCCAAGAGAGTAGTGAGAGGAAGGGAGTTTAGAAAATCAAATGCATCTGCGGTGGTCTCCTTCAATTCCCGATAATGACCATTTTATAAAAAAAACCATGTTGTAGGTGATTCTCATCCGCGGGATGTCGTATCATAACACAAGTATCCATTAAACCTTTCATTGTACCCTACAAAAGGGCACTTGGCTACGTTGGGTTCTAGCTTATGACATTCCTTCTTGGGAAGAATAACATAGCAGGTGAATCCAAAGACCCTTAGCCAACAGTAGTTAAGTTGTTTTCCATACAAACCGAAGAAAGGAGATTGTAGTCCCAATATCGACGTCACTTGCTGATTTATCAAATAGATCACCTTATGGTTGGCTTCAACCCAGAAACTTGAGGGAACTCGAGAGTGAATAAGAAGAGAACGATTTAAATCGAGAACATGTTACACCCTGCTCTTTCCAAAAGTCAAAATGACTATTATACCATTAGGTCAAGTTCCACCATAGTATCAATGAGGACTAAAAGTGTTAATTGCCGGTTTAAGCGGTGTCAAATTTGGACATAAAAAGAGGAAGTTACCGACGTTAATTGAGTTTTGAATTAAATTCATTCGTAATTGTAAGATTCCAAAAATACCCTCTAACTAATTAAACCCTAGACCCTTACTCTACTACACTCGGCCTCACCCCAATAGCTAAACCCTCGCAACCTTTTACTTTCCCACCGAAAGCAACTTGCTCTCGGGAAAGAAACAAAGCAAAGCGGCCGCCAAACCCCTCCCCCAACTCATCCCCCTCTCTCACCCCCACTCTCCACCCTTGGTCAAGCCACCGCCATACTTCCCCCATATTTGAACCAGTATAATCCCACAGACTCAGACGGCGGTATGCGATATTTAGAGGAAGCTCGAGGAGTCGCTGGGCGGATGTCGTAGACACCGTAGGCGGTGCCATACATGAAGGACACTGGAATCCTTGGCTCCCTGAAATTTAACGAGAATGCGTTATAGGGAAAGGAGGAGGAAATCATATGGTAAACTCATTTTCCTCTATGTTATTGTTCGATAAATGACGATGCAAAGACCAGGGTTTAGTGTGTGGTGTATATATGTATTTCAAACTATGGTGGGAAGGAATGAGGGGTTATTATAACGTCATTTAGAACGGAGATAGTTGGATGAGAAGGCAAGGTGTAGTGGTATAGCTTTATGGCATTGGCGAGGAATTATGAATCAGCGTGTTCGTCGTATCACAAAAGAGGAGGCGGTCCAGCTTGATAAAATAACCTTTCGCTTGGTAATTATTGCACTCTCGTGGTTGGAGTTATATGTTTTGCGTATTGAGGAGGTGGGGCAGATGAGATGGTCACGTAATTAAACTTTGAGTTATTGGAATCACATCATGGATTGGAGATTGCGTGGAGATTTCAAAGTAAGGAGGGATGACCTCAAGGTGATCGACCCTTTCCATGGTGGTTGGTTCAAGTCTATTGACACGATAGCAAGGTGAGTGTCAAGGGGGTAAATTCTACGTCTTACGTTATTTCAGTTTTTGAGATTGACCTCTATGTGCTATACTTGCCTTTGTGTGTTTATTTGATGCATGTGATTGCATTTGATTTATGTTTCCAGTTATACATATTATAATGCGTGCTTTATTTATAAGTAAGTTGAAGTTGAAGAACACGTTTTCTTTAAGAAGTACTTCACCTTAAAGAAGGTGAAATCATTTTAAGAGTTTTTAGTCACTAGCGCTAGTCCGTTGCCATTTGAGATTTTGAGATAGGGCAACAGTTATGCTCTTGAGACTTTTAAGATGAGCAACAGTTATGCTCTTGAGATATTTTATGATGAGCAGCAGTTATGCTTTTGAGAATCGTGGAAGAAGAACCTTCCACGGTAAGTTTAAGTTTAAGGAAACCTGGATGGCTTCTCATACATATGAGTTGGCAACCTGACAAGCTAGTGAGGGATCCCCGTGTCAGTCAAGAATTTAAGTGGAGATTTGAGCTTTAAGAATACAGTTTTAAGAGTTAAGATTTTTAATAGTGAAAGTAAACAACAACTTTCACTAAGTTAAGTAAAGTGATCAAGTATTAATAAGATGCTAAACGTAAGGGCGTAGAGTGACCACAACTCACTCACCAGTTTGAAGAGGAAGGAGCTATAAGAGCAGTTAGAGAGCATCGAGATCGAGAGAAACAGTTTGACTAAAGCTAGCTAGAGGAGGACGGTACGAGCGTCGCAGAGGATGTCTAGTCAGAGTTTCACACAAGCAGCATCACTTGAGGCTAGTTAGTTATTATGGTTTATGATTATGAGTATAGACTGGAGATCAAGTTGAGTTTTTAAAGTTTGAGTTAAGTTGCCCACGTGTTAGGGTGTTGCTTTGAACTAAAAGAGTGTGTTTTCAGAAATTTATTTATCAATTTTTTCCATTGCAGTTTAAGCTTTGAGTGTTATAATTTTCAAGGATATTTTGGTAAAATTAGTACCCGATGGGGTTAGGGTGTTACAGAACATGTATATTCTTTCTTTCAACCTACCCATTTTGCTGGGATATGCCAAGACACGATTGCTGAGATATAATACCATCTTCCCGATAAAACTCCAGGAGCGGATTCGAATTGAACTCCCCTCAGGATCAGAATGCACGATCTTCAATGTTTTAACGAATTGAGTCCGCACCATCTGAATAAACTCAAGAGCAAAACCACGTGTCTGAACCTAGAAAGTACAAGGCAGTTCATGTAGAGCACGAGTTAGGCGTCCATTCTTGGTGAGGGAACGCAATCCTGAATCCTGCAAAACAAGGGTTAATGGGAGGTTGCCCAGGACTCCCTCCGAAGATTAAGTTAAAGAGAGAAGAGAGAAAGTGTTAGGTTTAGAGAGAGAGAGAGAGAGAGAGAGAGAGTAGTTGAGTTTACTATCAATGCTCTCATGGGGTATTTATACTCAACTAGAGATGGGTTTAGGCCATTGAATGCCATGTCAAGCGCCCTAAACCTACCCTATTTAGTACACAACCGCTTACGGTGGTAATTAATGCTTGGTCTTGTATATACCGAGGTGGATCTTAGTCGATCTCCTCCTGTCTCCATCGCTGCTTTTATGTCAGGAGGTCCTCCTGTCTTGTCTACGAGCGGTCGCCTAACATCACAACCCACCTGTTGCTTCCCTTATTGGGCTGGGCCTACTAACCTTCCTCCTTGGGCTTTAGGCCTGATTCCGCTTAACCACGTGAGACCATCAATTGCCCCTAAGGAAACAAATTCTTTGGGTTTTGGCAGCCATGACTTTCTTTCTATCGTGTTGAGCGATCTTTATTTCAATTAACCGCACCCCATACTTTGCCCCTAGCCGCTCGAGAAACTAAGATGACCAGCCAAGGGATGTGGTCCCTACTGACTTCAACCGCCCGCAATATGGACGCTTCATTTTCCCTCTTTCATCATCCAAGTGGCGAGATTAGTATTTCAAGCCCTGAAAGCGATCATTGTGGCCGTCTTTTCAGCTGCCCGCTTTTTGTATTAGTAGACTAGGGTATTTACCTCGGTCACCAAATCGTCACATAAGCACTACCCTACTTTTTCGTTTCTATTTAAACGAGCAGATTACTCGTCTTCTTCACTCTTGTGTCTTCCCCCTCTTATGCTCTGAAATTTCCCTGTCCTGAAGCAAAAATTGCTCGCTGCTCCAAATTTTCCTTTTTTTCTTACGTTCAAAGTCATTTGCTCCTTTCCTCGAAACAAGCCACTTATCTTCCTGGGATACGACGTGCTCAGAATTGAGCAAAGAGGTAGAGGTGAAAAGCGACGATGGCAATCGATTCTCAGGCCACCACTCCCTCCTACAGCCAGAACAAGAACTTATCGAGCGATGCTCCCAATGGAACCATTTATGGTAACGCTCGGACTTCCACCACTTGCACAACTCCTCCTCGCTCGTCTTCTAAAATTGGCGGCGGCTCCAACAACCCTAATGTCGGGGTTAAACTAGTCGCTAAAGGTATGCATGAAAATTTTTCACCTTTTGGTATCTCTGATATAGAATGTGATTTGGAGAGTATTGACCTTGTATGCGGTTACGAGAACTTTGGCAACCCTAGGGAGAGTGTAGGCGATCCTAACTTTGGCCTTTTAGGGTTAGATGGGAATGCATTAACCGATACTAGCGGCAACCTGCGTGACTTCGACTCTTCTGAGATGTACCACGAGTCTTCTCATGGCGTTCCCGTGATCTCACTTTCGTCTTAAGATACTAATGAAGCACACAATAATCACACAGAGTTTCATGACTTTGCGACCGACTCTCCTCTTACCATTCTGCAGGACCGCCCGTAGCACCCTTCCAAGCAGTTGATGAAGAGGGAGAAGATATACCCTCGCATTATTTCAATCAATGACAGTCGTACGAAGCTGCTTATCGGTCATCTCGAGTTCTCCCTCAGTTAAAGAATCATGTTCTTCCTCCTGAGTGAGATTACGCGGTTTCTTCTCGCACTGGGCGATACAGTTCTTGTCCTGGGGGGGGGGGGGGGGGGGGGGGGGGGGGGGGGGGGGGGTGGATTCCCATCCATGTGGATCATATTAGGATGGGTCTTCAATTTCCACTTGACCCCATATTGACTCACTCTTCTGCATCTCAACTTCGTGCTCAAGCGTCTTTCTTCTGGTATTATTTTCATTCCATAACCTTTCGCGCGGCCTGCAAAAGACTGGAGGTGGATCCTTCGTTTGATGCTTTCCGCCTCTTGTATATGATGCTCAGTCGGGAAAACTACTGGTCGAGCTACAGGAGGAAGACTCGTGTGTGCTTTGTCTATGGAACGCCCAAGTTAGATTCTCCTTGGTTTAAAGAATATTTCTTTGCCCGCCCCACTGAGAAATGGTATTCTAGTGACGTAGAGCCGCCGACTGGTTTCGCGGTTGGCGATAAAGAGGATTGGAATGCCAACCTTGACTCTCTCGCACCCTTTAAAGATCTTCTCAAATGAATAATTTCAACTGTTCAATTTTGTCTTCCTCCTAAAGGGTATGATAACGCGCTGGATTTAGTTTAGCGCTTTCACGGTAAGTTAATTCTTCCTTGGTTATGTTTATGGAGTTCTCTCATGCTTTTACTTATGGGTTGCTTTCGTATGGACTCGACGGTATGTTTCTACGGCAAGGCTGCCAAAGCCAGGCACAAGTGCCTCCGCGGCCGCAGTTGCTTCACTTCCTATTGATCAAGCAGAGACTCGAGCAACTGCCTCTCTCCCCTCTGCTCAGACATAGCTTGTTGTGAGTCGTTATGGGAGCTCAAGTTTGTTGAGGTGGATTCCAATCACGGGTTTGGGAAGCGGTCATTGAAGACTATGGTTCTTACTGACAAGCGGTCCTTATGAAGTCAATCAAGGATGAAGGGCGTCCTTGTCGACAAGACTCCTTCAGATCCCCTTGCTGCCTATACGAACAAGAAAAAGCAGAAGATGACAGAGCTGTAGCGACTGTGGCGTTTTCTCCCAATGCAACCAGACACTTGGGGGCGTAACCACGCGTTGCTTATTTGTGGTAAGTATGATTTCTATGATGCGAGTACTTTGTGATTACTTTCCTCTTACTTGACTATTCTTGCATACTCAATTTGGGACAAACCAAATGGTGTTGCACAACGACCTCCTTCAGAGTGACCTGGACGACCGCAACACCATGATACTTCAACTTGAAGACCATATGAAAGAGGGACGTGAGGGATTCAAGTGGAAGCTGCAAGAGGAATCGAGAAAAGAGCAAGAGGCCGCTGATGCCAAGAAGGACACCGACCTGGCAGCTATGCGGGAGGACTTGAAATAGGCAAAGGAAGATGTTCATCACTTCCGAAAAGAGTCACTGGAGTTTGCCAAGCGGGAGGAAAGCTTGAGCTATGAAGTGTACAATTTGACGAGAGATATGGCATTGATGGAGGATAACCGCGAAGCGAGTTGCTCAACACAAATGAGGCTACCAAGGCTACATTCCTCGACTCTGACGAATTCAAGGAAGAAGATGATGCAAAGTATAAGAAGTTATTGAGGGACACTGTTGCTTCTATCCGTCACTGGTTTCGTTGTGAGTACCCCGGGGTTGTTTGGGCGCTCATGCGATCTAGGACGTCGTGGAATTTTGGGGCAACGACGACGTGAACTACGAACTTGCTGCCCCTTCAACGGGAAATGCTGGAGTAGAGGTTGATCAGCCACCTGCAGCTGATGGCGGTTCATCCTAGTGATCCTTTTCTTTTATCGCAGTTGCTATAACTTCATTGCTCTTGTGAGGGAACTTAAGACAATTTTTGTTTTTGATGATGATGCTCTTTTTCTGCTTATCACAATTTTCTTGTCACTTTATTTTAACCGAGCGAGATTGGTTTCGATTGGGTTTATGATTTTGCTATGTAAAATTGTGGAGGAGATTGTCCCTCGGAGGCGGTTCAGATTGCGACAACGTTTAGCTCATCACTAGGAGACATTTGAAATTATGGAGACAATTTTTAGCTTATCGCTGGGGGGCGGTTTGAGATGCGAACAATTTTTAGTTTATCACTCGGAGGTGGTTGTAATTGTAGACAATTTTAAACTTATTGCTCCGGGGCGGTTTGAATTGTGAATAATTCTTAGCTTATCACCCCGAGGTGGTTGAAATTGTAAATACAATCTTAAGCTTATCGCTCTGGGGCAGTTTGAATTGTGAATAATTCTTAGCCTATCACCCGGAGGTGGTTGAAATTGTAAAGACAAGTTTACACTTATCGCTCTGGTGCAGTTTGAATTGTGAACTTCTAAAGTAAATCGCTCGGGGGCAGTTTAACTAGAGAGGAATTTCTTAGACATATTGCTCAGAGATGCTTGAACTATCATAGTTAGAAATAACTTGTAGATAAAATACACTGCAGGTTGTGATCGTACAAAATGCCTAGCGGCCCTGCGATTTATCTTTGGTCTACTCCAAAAAGTACTTCTTCATTTGAATATCGTTCCACGTCTTTGATATTGGCTTCCCTTCCATTGTGGCAAGTACGTATGTTACAGAGCCTATCTTCTCTCCTACAAGGAATGGTCTTTCCCATAAGGTGGCTAGCTTGCCGTGACCCTCCTTTTGCTCAAAGTTCCTTTCCAAAACCATGTCACATTTGTAACACCCCGGTATTTTTATATTTGGGTTCAACCATAATAAATTATCGGTTAGATTGACGGTTACGTACTAAGGCGAAGTTCCCAGAAAACCCCACCGCCGCTACAATTTTCATCCCCAGCCCAAGGCGAATTTCCCCGGCGTGAGGGGAAAAGAAGGAGCCTGCCGCCACCTGTGCCCGACCCCGATCCCATCCCTTTCGTGTTTCTAGGTAAGGATCACGAACCCCTTCGCGATTTCTAAACTCGATTCATCGATAGTCTAATCCAAAATTCGTATTTTATTAGCGGTGAAGTTTGAGGGTTCGATCATCGATCAACAAGTAGATCAAAGTCCCGGGCCATACAATCTAGTCCTAGGCACGTTCTAGAGGTAAGGGAACTCGATCCCTTTGAGTTAGATCGATCGATCGATTTGGTAATTTTTTTTGAGAGTGCGATTCTGGGTTTTTAGCAACAGACGTTACAGGCTTTTAGTGACATATTTTGGTTGGTCACTAAAGCTGTCGAGAATTTGCATAAACTTATTTTGGATATTTTAAATTGTTTTGAGCATCTTTGGATGTTTTTTCCTAGGTTTAACAATTTTATTAATTGAGGGAGGTCTAGAAGATGGCTGTAATTTAATTTGGAGAATTTTGAAGATGTATTTCGATTTTTAGAGATTGTTCGAATGTTTATTTTATTTAAATAAAAATCTTACCGGGAGTATTTTAAGGTTTTTATAATTTTACAGTGTATAGGTGCTCATGATTGACATAGAAAAATTATTATCATAATTTTTAAGAAGGTTCAAGTTAGGTGAAAAATTTGTCCAAGACAAAAATAATTAGGAAAACTGGTCGGTTTTGAAGGGATTATTTCTAGAAAATTTTTAAAGGGGTTAAGGGACCTTTGGAGCGAGGCTCGAGGGCTGGATTTTGAGCAGAGGATGTTCTAGTGATTCAAAAGGGGTTTGAAATCGAGAAAAGTCGTCTAAGAAAATGGATTCTTATTAATAGGCTTCTCCAAGATAATCCGGCTGAGGGGTTTCTTCTACAAAGGAATCGAGGAGTAATCTTTTCGAGGTTAGTGTAAAGGGAGTAAAATCTCTGTCATAGGTCTTTTAGTTTATGTTTTTCGTTCAACTTATTAATTAGTTAATTTTTTTTAGTAACGCGCGATATGTGTGTGAGGCATCCCACCGCCTATAAGGGTGGAGGCACGCGTTGTGCTATGTATGAATGTATGGATTTGAGATGGTAATAGTTGATTAATGGTAAGATGAACCCCTGGGCGGTTGGGCCACTACTGAACGTAATAGATGGTCGGATCAATGCTGGATGGCGAGACGAAACGCAGCAGTTGATCGAGTATGTTGGGGTCACTACTGGACGGCGAGACGTAACGCAGTAGTTGACCGGGCATGGACTGGACGACGAGACGTAACGCGGTTGTCATACTAGGGTAGGGACACCGGACGACGAGACGTAACGCGGTGGTCCCTAGTGTTGGTGTCAATGGATTAAGAATATAAGTAATTAAATTCTAAAGATAAGATAGGAGTAGAGATCTCTTACAGACTGTTTGATAACAAAGTATAAAGGATGAAAGCGAGAACGACTTTTGTCTAAGTCAAGAACCTTAATAATGTGTTTAGTAAGGGTTTTCTTAGGGAAAGACCTTAGGAAGTAACAACGAGACTGACCCCTTCTCACTCACCAGGTTGAGGAAGGGTTGACGAAGGAGGATTTCGAGAAGAGGCAGGGCGAGGCGAGAAGCCGCACTAGCATTGGCAAGGTCGCAGGGAGCTTAGCGATGAGCTAGAGTTAGATTTAGTTAGTTGTCTTATGTATCATGATTATGAGTATAAACTGGAGGTTCAAGGTTCGAGATTTGTGGGTCAAGTGTTTTGGGATTTGTTATTGCCCAAGTGTTGGGGCTTTTTGTTTGAAATTCTTAAACATTGTCCGTTTGTTTATTTTAAAAAGTGGTTTGTTTGCTCCGGAGTAACCAATTTTCGGTTTGAGTTATGGTTTGGTTTTCTAAAAAGATCAGGTCGTTTCAACCTTCTTCGAGAGGTCGGGGCTTCACCTTTTTGTTGTTTGCCATTGCGATCTTGGACTTCTCTTTGATGGTTCTAACTAATGATGCGCCTCGCCGTGTTACAATCATGTCCAATTGATGAAGAAGCATTCTTTGATTCTCTTCCTGGTTGTAGGTTTGGACCCTCAGGGACGAAATGGCCATCTCCACTGGTGCGACCGCTTCAGAGCCATAAGTCAGAGCGAACGACGTTTCTCCATTTGCTCTCTTGTAATTTGTGCGATGTGCCCAAAGTACATGTGGCAGCTCTGCGGTCGGCCCTCCTTTAGCTTCCTTTAGCCTTCTCTTCAACCCTCACAAGATCAGTTTGTTTGAAGACTCAACCTGTCTATTGGTTTAGGGAAACGTGAGTGAGGTCATTTTGCAGATAATGTGGTTTCTTGAACAGAAATTCTTGAACGGTCTGCAGTCAAATTGTGTACCATGATCAGTGATGATGGTATTAGGCGTCCCAAACCTAGTCATTATGTTGTTGAACAGGAACTTCTAAAATTTGGCACTGGTGATTGTGTCGAGCGGTTCAGCTTTTATCCACTTCGTGAAGTAGTCTACATCAACCACCAAGTTCTTCTTTCCTAGAGGAGCAGTGAGTAAAGGTCCCAAAAGATCTAGCCCCCACTGTGCGAATGGCCATGGTCTCGTTATGTTGTTCAATTCCTCACTAGGCAGATGTTGATTGCTGGTGTGCACTTAACATTCGTGGCATCCTCGAACCGTC